CGTCGTCTTTTATATGGTTCACAAACGAGGCCTCAGTGTGAAGATTATCAGAGATCAAAGGCTGGAAACATAAAGAGGGAAAAAGTTACGTTATTGGCCATGGAAGCACAGTTACAGGGGACATTCAAGATAACTTCCTTATCGGCTTCGAGTCTCTGTCCGATCATTAACGCAAAGGCGAGCATGGACCTAAGACGGAACGAAAGCGGAATGGTGAATAAGCACATTTCTTAAATACGTTTTTTTTATTATTATTTGTACCTTCCTGGTCTTGATGTTATTTTATTGTGATTTAAAATGTTACTGTATACAAACTCAAGCAAACAAAAACAAATTCTTTGCATTTCATTTAACATTTACCTCAATTTTTTTTTAAAAATATGTCTTAATAGTCGCTTTTAAATGTATGTTTTATGTCTTATAACTATTTTAAACTGTGAACTGTGTTAATAGAAGTTTAATAAAATGTAATTAAAAGTATAATATTTGATATATACGCGCCATTTTCCGGATAATGTTTAGTAAAGTTGGATAATAAAAGGAATAATGAGATAAAAGATATGTTAGAAGGGGTGGATATCGTAAAATTTGTAAAATCTCTCAGATTGAGATGGTGTAGACTTATGGAAAGAATATTTATAAAAACGTAATGAAAGGAGCTAGGAAAAGAGATATAGATAGATGTAGTTCAAGAGGATTTTAAAATTATGGGAATAAGACATTGGCAAGTAGTTGCTAAGTATGTAATTGAAGTTGAAAGATGGTGGTGGATAGATATGACAATATGATGTCAAAATTTTGTACCTAATTGTGGCTGTAGGAATTCATATAAATCCTGTTATAAGGAATCTGAAAATTTTAACGTAATGATTTTTGAATATAAATCTTTACTATATATGGTACAACATTTGAAATTTATCTGTCACTGTTAATTTTGACGTCTTCTGGGATAAGAACCATTGCTAAAGGACGCGGAGCCCGTGGCTAATTGTTCGAATCAAAAATTATAAAAAAAATATAAAATCCAGTAAGCTGTAAGTTTAATATTTATTTACGCCAAGCTGTGTATTTAGCTAAAATTTCATTATTATCTTTTTATGTGATTACAGTCAAATTGGTATAATTTAATATGCTTTTTTTTTACAATTTTGCTTTCATCCTTTAATTTTACGTTGTATTTTATCTGCGAGGTATATGATTCTGTTGTGGTTACACTTTCTCTAACCCGTTCCAATTGTGACTTAGCAGTTAACACTTTTGCTTCGCGTTCGGGTGGACCTGTGATCTAATCTTAGTTTTGACTGAGTTACCTCGTGGTTTTCCTTGTTCTCTCCAGAAAAATAGAACGTCATCATTAAGTTGATAGATACTCATATTGTTAAACAAATTTTAGATTTTATGGAACCTGAAGAATCCGTACTGTATTCACGGAAATTCTTTATTCAACCTACCTCGAATTTTTATATATTCACGCCCTATTTCACAAAACACACTTCAGCATGTTACATTTTCATTATCTTATTTGAGTCAAGTTAAAATTACAAATGTTGAAGCTCATCCTGTTACGTTAACTTTCTTAGGGTCAATAGTTTCCTCAGAATTTTATAAAATTCTGAAACTCCTTGCATAATTCTGTCTACAAAGCAATATTCTCTTCACCAGTGAAGTTGTCCATTCGAATGTGGCATTGCAGTTTAGACCTGACTAAACTTTTTATTCGATTTTGTTGTTGGATGTTGGTGCATTTCAAAATGTTTAAAATTCACCTTTCTGCTACGAGTCTACTAGAGTAAAAAAATTTTTCGACAGAAAGAAACACGTAGCCTATTTGATTTTTTTTGGCCACAAAGAAACCTAACCTAACCTAACCCACAGGGACTTTCGCAGGTCACTGCAGCTGTGAAAAAGGCACACTACATGATTAATAAGATAGTGTAATTGCGTCGTATTGTGAATATTATATCAATTATTTGTTTTAATCCGTCTGATCACAATATAATTTTTATTTAAAATTTCTTATAATTAAGATAATAAAATATCATTCATGTTCCATATCGATTGATCGATTTACATTTCGGAACATTTACACAACATGTTTCGGTTTTTATAAAACCATCATCAGGTGTAAAATATATCTAAGAACTTAAAACTCAATTATGATTTCTGTAGTTTTTTGGTGATGTTTCATTACGTTTGTTTTTCCATTTTTGGGCGAAGGTGTTGTTTTTTCTTAAATGTTATTAGATGTACATATCGGCCAAAGATGTAGGAGTGAGTGTCCCGATATGTCCAGAAGTACTAGTGTCTTCGAATAGGTGTGGGTCAAAGATATTTTATTATCTTAATTATAAGAAATTTTAAATAAAAATTATATTGTGATCAGACGGATTAAAACAAATAATTGATACATGATTAATGTAATATTCCTTGGATATTGTGTGGGTACGTATTAAAAATAACACGAGTCCAAAAAAACTGTATCTTTAAACTCTGCACGTATAAAGAATTTATGTATTTTAAATTATTCTTGAGGGAAAATAAATCAAACGTAAAATTAAATAATGTGTTTGCTAATATGGTTTCTTTTTTCGTAGTTTTGTGGACTTCTGTGGTTTTGGAAATGACACCTCATGTTTTGTAACGCCAATGTTATCCTATCTACTCCTCTCTGTAGTGAGAGAGAGGCATTTAAAGTTGGCCATTGATTTTTTCCGTAACTTCTGTTTTGAATGATGATAAGACATTCAGACTTGGTTAATTCGACTTATGAATGAGTGCATTTGATTTTAATTATCTTAAATGTAATTGACGTGTATGAGTCAAATTAAGCTCTCAAAGATAAGTTCCTATGCTTAAAAATTCGGTTTAATTGATGATAAATAATATGGGATATTTTCATTATGAAACCAAGAGATTGTAGAGACGTAATACAGCTGTCAGATTAATGAATAAACTCTTCTGCTCTTAACAACGTACATGCAAAAGATTTTCCCGATTCACTAAAAATTTGTGACATTTGACTCATTATATCAACATTGTGTTAGACTCTTTTCATTATTTGAGGAACTCCAGTATAGGCGTTTCGGGAATATATCAATTTTAAATTCGCTGGCAACAAATTCTCGTTAAAAATTTACTAAGATTTTATTCTTGGACACTGTACTATATCACGATTGGATTTATTGCTGATCTATTTAACGGTGATGTTTCAACTGAATATGTTCATAACGTTGAACTGTGATGTGATTGCCAGCGATGGATTGGGAAGGATGTAACAGAAAGCGGCCGTGTTGTAATTAGTTCAAAAATTCATCACGCATTTATTTTATTTTTATCTTTGCCTCGTACTCCTTTCGTTTCTGTCCTCCTTTTCGTACTGTACTTCATTTCTTTCTCATTGATTTCTCATCTGTTTCAACTTAACAGCAGTGACAAACATCGGCCATGCTGAGTAACATTAGACGTAGTTCTGAAGGCTGCCTAATGGTAGCATCACATGTAAAATACAATGTTTTGTCAAATAGAGTCATTTCTGATAATTCATCGGCTTCTTGAACGCAACAAAGCAAACGTAAAATCACAAATACGAGGAGATAAAAAAATATAAGATAGCC